GTGATGAGGATGCAGCATGGGGTCGTTTTACGCTAAATCAGAATTTGCACAATTGCATGTAAATGGAAACACTAGTGGAATATGAATTTTCATTAGACATGTAAACAGCTTACTAGGGATATTGTCTTTTTCCAATATTTGGTGCATGTAAAACGTAGTCAGAGAACTGGTTTCCATTTTAATTGTTACAGTGCTGGGATATGAAGTTATATGTTGCCACCGTCGGTGTGTTTCTGTCTCTGTCTTCGTGTGTTGAGGCTTGTGTTTCGGGTTAAGAATGTGAAGCTTGTCTGAACGCGAGCTGTGTTTTTACGCCTCGAGCTGCCTTTTGAAAGTCCCCTTGCCATCCTCCTCCTCCTCACCTGCCACCTCCCTCTGTTCTCACTCTGTCGCTATCTTTATCTCTCCTCCCTCCTCCCTGCCTGCATGTGTGGATTTAATACAGCTTCCTCGTGCCATCTTGATTCTGCCATAATCTCTCACTCACCGGGAGCTCGGTGTCACCTTTGGGAGATTGTTTGGCCGGCCGGCGGTGTCGAACGGAAGAGAGATAGCAAAACAAAGAGATCGCTTCCTCTCATCTCTGCTTTTTTTTGTTATTTATTTTTTTATCTGCCTCCACTTTTATTGCTTCATCTCTGTGGATCGTCCTGCACGCTTCACACACTATACCTCAGTTTTCTGGTTGATAACTTTTTAATAAATCCCCACAAATCTGGTGCACGGACCGACTGAATAATGAATTTATCACCCGGTGATCTCTGGACACAGCTCAGTCAAACCGAAACAGTAAATATTCATATTCTACAGCTTATTTCAATCTCTGGTCAATGATTTAACTCGTCATTAGGGCGGCAGCTATCGATTATTTGAGTGATACGTTTGCTTTTTTAGGGAGCAATTGTAAATATGCAAAAGAGAAAATAAGACGGACGACTACTTTGGTTTCCTTCTTTGAAAAAAATCAATACTTTAATTGATTTAATTGCATAAAATCTAAACTAAGTCTTCAGACTAACATTTTGGAAAAATTATTTAAACAGCCCGATGGCGGAGTAATCCGTCTAAATATCCTTTTACTTTGTTATTGTCATCTATATTTAGTATTTGCATAAAAAAACACAATTCAAATGATCAGGAAATAAAAGATTGTATATTTATTGATAAAGTAGATTTAATGAATTTAAATGTATTATAAGATGCTTAGAGTTCGTGTTATATCTATTTTATTACTGTATTTATTCAAGTTTCTCACCAACAACTACATTTTACAACATCACATTCAAACAGCGCTAGCTAGCTAACGCTAATTCTTGTCTCATTTGTGATCTGATAAAGTCGCCTACATCCACGTACCAAACGTACGTCATTGTAAACAAAGAATTACAACAAACAACAAACCCAGACGAGCTTTGTTCACGTTTCATGACGACAGTTATCTTGTGTCGGCTGTGTGAGGACGTTGTTGCATCGTTAGCATCACTGTTGAATTGCATTAGCCAGAAGCTAGCTAGCTAATGCTAATGTGTGGTTGTTCTCTCGCTGTATATATTTTACAGATTCAAAGGTATGAGTTGGACTGACAGTCGCCTCACACTTCAGCACATAGAGATGCTGAGAGAGATAAAGTTGTGTGATGTGAAACAGGAAAACAAAGATGTGAAACAGAACAAGAGACTTTTCTGTACTGTCGGATACATTCAGAGTCTGATGCAACACCGAGTAACGTGTGTGTGTGTGTGTGTAATGATATTTCACACTCTGGGTCACTTTCACATGTGAGTTGCTCTCTCTCTCACACACACACACACACTGCCGTCACTTTGCCTCTTCCACCCCCCCCCCCCCCCCCCCCCCCCCCCCCCATTCGTTGCCCTCACTAAACAACCTGCCAGGCCTGTTGCTAGGTTACCATGAGGCGATGATGGTGTGTGTGTGTGATGGGGTGGTGGGTTGATGCTGGTGAGGAGGATACATTTTCCACTTTCTCGCTTTAACAGCTGTGGAGCTGACTTTGGTTTGGAGACTCAGGACACTTTCCAGTGCAGTGGTTCCCAACATAAAGGTCGGGGCCGTTCCAAGGGGCCACAAGATACCTACATAAAACATACTTTCTTTGTTTTTTTTTATGTAAAATCCTCCAAAACACATTACATTTAAACATCTTATTTTTGGTGGAACAAGATGTGTGACTAAGAGATAAAATAAAACACTGGAATTAATGAACTCTTCTTTATTTAGTATCTCAGGAAAATTAATAAGTTCATTTTATAAAGGTGATATTGTCACCTGGCAAGCTTGGAGTATTATTTTGTGATAAAAGGCACCGGTCACTTTTTATCTTTTGGTCTATTTCACTTCCATTACACGTCTTCTTTCAGACTAGAGGAAGGAAAACATTTATTTTACTACTTTGTGTATTTGTGTCTGTAGATTTCTCCAGAAGTTACCATTAGATAATGCCTCATTTGCATATTTAAACATAACATTTCAGAAAACTAATCATCTTAATGTCAGTAATGAACTGGTGAAGTTTCATGGTTACCCTATTCATCAGGTGTCTCCCCTTAAAAATGCAAAATGCGTTAACCAACACACACACTCGCGCACACACGTGCTTGAATTGTTTTATTTTATTCTCATTTTGTACTTTTTTTCTGTGTCTTTCAGGGTCGCCATGTCAAAACGGGACAGCTTGCTGCCATCAAGGTCATGGACGTCACAGGAGTAAGTAACACACACGCACACATTAAATCTACACGTGTCCAAACACACCTTTGGGATTGAGTACCTTGCTCGAGGGCACTTGATGCAGCAGTTTGTCCTCGCTTGACTCCACTGGAGGGGTTTCTTCTTTCCAGGATTCTAATATTTTACATTTCAGTCAACACAGTATTGTTTTTATATTTGAAATGTGTGTGTTTGCGTGTGTGTGTGTGTGTGTTTGTGTATGTGTGTGTTTTAGGATGAGGAGGAGGAGATTAAAGCAGAGATCAACATGTTAAAGAAGTACAGCCACCACAGGAACATAGCGACCTACTACGGAGCCTTCGTCAAGAAGAACCCTCCTGGGATGGACGACCAGCTTTGGGTGCGTTCAGAACACGTGTCCGAAGCTTAAAGAGCAACGCAGCACCTCATGTTAGCTTTAAAACACAACCACCGTTGTGTTACCTCAGTCGGCAATAGATAGTGAGTTAACAGACATTTATTTAGATAAAGATCATCAAGATTATTAGATTAAAAAAATCTGTAGTGTGTTTTTAAGACTTTTAAATTAAGATAAGTAGACAGAATTGTTATTTTATTAGCCGTCTTCTAGCCTGAACAGAAGATAAATAGATTCTGGTCCCACCTACTAAACAACTAAAACAAGACAAAATGTTCCAATGGAGGTTCATTGGAGACGGATTAGACGTTTAACTTCCCACCTTGCTGCTGTGATGTACAGGTGTACTCCAGGACCTCGTGATGTCACTTGTGGGTGTGGTTTCAGGTGTCAGTGACTCAAAACAAAGATTTTACAATTTACGATGGTAGAAAAACATTTTAGATTCAACAATCCCGCTTTAGATATGTCTTAAATGTCTTAAATATTTACTCGATAGCTAAATAATAAACAAATCAATTTTAAACAACTCGTTGTGATGAATCTAAAGCAAGTTCCATAGAAAACTGCTTGAAAAAGTAAAAAAAAAACTTATTTAAAACCTATGGCGTAGTTTACAATATACGGATAAATACTGTAAAGCACAAGTAGATGTGAGAACGTACGACGATCTGAACGTTGTTTGTGTGCAGCTGGTGATGGAGTTCTGTGGGGCCGGATCGATTACCGATCTGATCAAGAACACCAAAGGGAACTCTCTGAAGGAGGAGTGGATCGCCTACGTCTGCAGAGAGATCCTCAGGGTGAGAGCGGACATTTATATTAACTTCACCACTAGTTACATCTCAGCATACATGTTTCGGTGGAACTCTTTTGATGGGAAAACAATTGCAAACATAAGGGACCCCAGAAGGTTCCCTGAGGAACACCTTATTTTACTGTTCTGTGCAGAAACCCAAGTTGCTCTCAATACAATGCATCTCCTGTATCTTTCATAAAGCATTCATGATGAGGACATATGTGTTCATTAAAGGAACCATAGAGGGTTATCGATGAGCCATCGTATTGATTTTAACAAAGGCCATATTGGATCTCAGAAGAAATCATATTAATGAATAATTACTATTATATGAAGAACATTTTGAGGTATTATCAGTTATAACAAGTAGAAGTTACAGCTGGGGTTTTTCTTTTGTTAAAAACATATTTTTTTAGGTGTTATCTTGAAAAATAAATGTTTTGTTTAAATCTTTTGTTCGGAAGAAATTGCAAACATAAGGGAACCCCAGAAGGTTCCCTGAGGAACACCTTATTTTAGTAAATGATTAAATTAAATACACAGTCTTATGCTAATATGTTTTGTTTCTGTCAAAAACGGTAGATGGAATGAAATGATTGTTGAATAAACATTAAAATACATTTTTAAAGAAAAGGCTCACAAAGTAGATTCAAGACAGACAGCTCACAGTACATTTGTGACACTTCGACTACAGTGTGTGTGTTCTGCTGATAGGAGTGTAGTTCACCATCGCAGTGAAGTCAGTGTAACAGGAAGTAGTAAGTCCATTTTCCTCTCTGTCTCCAGGGCCTGACCCACCTCCACCAGCACAAGGTCATCCACAGAGATATCAAGGGCCAGAATGTGTTGCTGACGGAGAACGCGGAGGTTAAACTCGGTGAGAGGGCACACACACACACACACATACAAATTGTGTCATCCTACTGTCTGCTGATGTTGAGCAAACAATACACAGCGAGAAAGTACTGTTTGCTGATCATAAATGACGTATATTTACAAAGGAAACGAGTGCTACATTAATATTTAATAATATTGCATGACTCATAACTAATTCAATCCATTCATTGTGTGTTCGTGTGTTTTTTACAGTGGACTTTGGTGTGAGCGCTCAGCTGGATCGCACGGTGGGACGGAGGAACACGTTTATCGGGACGCCGTACTGGATGGCCCCCGAGGTCATCGCCTGCGACGAAAACCCCGACGCCACATACGACTTCAAGGTAAAACTGGTGTGTGTGTGTGTGTGTGTGCGCGCGCATTTTGGTGGCAAATATTGTAATTTTTACTCCACTTCAAGGATCATTGATTGTCATTATGCAACACAGGGATGCACCACCTTGCAGGGATGCACAAGTTTTATTGCAAATGTGCAGCCAGACAATCAAAACAACGTGCTGAAAGAGGATAAAAGCTGCAGAGAGTTGATATTGATTCTCCCTGATGTTCATCACACTCAAGTCATTTGATTTAATGTTAATATATCGCATATTAAAATATATAAATGTCGGGTTTAATTGCCGCCTTCAGATATTTCTGCCCTCTTTTAGTCACATGCTCTGTTACGACCACCTCTTTTTTACACCATGCAAAGAAATACAAAATGCTTGTAGTTATGAACACAGGCTGACCTTTAAAAAATATATATATATATATATGTGTATATATAGATACGTATATATGTGAAAAGATTCTGCGATCGTATCCGTTCATCGACTGCACAAAACTCCGACCACACAGACTCGTGTAAAATTTCCTTAACAGGAACACTGAACCCTGAAGTCATCGCTGTATGTGCAGAGGATGTGAACCAGTAACGGGGGCAGAACGAATCCCTGCAGGCGGAAACCTCGCGAAGGACGCTCCGCTTAGACGCCATTAACTCCGAGCCTCCGAGGCATCGCGTCTAAAGACAACCCCCCCCACCGCCGCCGCTCATCTTTCAGTATCAACGTCACCTTTAAGTAGCAGATACGTTCTATTCAAACGGAGGCAGATGGGAGATGCTGAGATGGAAGTTTCTGTATTTTTATCACTTAACAAGAACACTGACCAGTGGAACCCGAAAACATGACGTGTGAAGTCGGTAACAGGTTTTTAGGATGTGAAAGTTCTCAGTTTTCTCTCTCGTTCTCTCTGCAGAGTGATCTGTGGTCGCTCGGTATCACAGCGATAGAGATGGCAGAGGGAGCACCACGTAAGTGTGAAACGCCCGACTCATTAAAACATCACAAGTGAGGACAGTTTGTCTTCTGGCTAGAAGTCTAAATCTGTCTCTGCTTCTTTTTATACTCTTTTCCTTCTCTTTTCTTTCTCTTCTTTCTTCTCACCTCCTCACTTCTGTCCTTTCCTTCCCTTGTCTCTTCTTGTCCCCTTTCATTTATTTCCCCTCCTCTCAATCCCTTTTCTTTTCTTTTCCATTCCCCTTTTATCATCTCCTCTCCTGTTTCCTTTCCTCCTGTTTCGTCTTGTCTCCTCTTCTGTCCTTCCCTTTTCTTTCCCCTCCTTTATTTTCCTCCTCTCATCTTGCCTCTTGCCCTTGTGTGTCCTCTCCATGCCTCGTCTCCTATCCTGGTCTGTCCTTTCCTATCTTTCCCTTTTCCTCTTGTCTCATCTGCTGCCTTTCTGTCTCCTATCCACTTCTCATCTCCTCTTGTCTCTTTCCCTTTTGTTTCCTCTCTTCTTGCCTCATCTTCTATCCTCTTTTCTTTCCTCTTGTCTCCTCTCATCTCCCGTCCTTTTGTCCTCTCTCTTCACCTCCACTTCCTCCTCCTCTTCCTCAGCTCTGTGCGACATGCATCCAATGAGAGCGCTCTTCCTCATCCCCAGAAATCCCGCCCCCAGACTCAAGTCTAAGAAGTGGTGAGTCACTAAAACACACACAGATGTGTCCTCTGCACCTGTTCTGTTCTTATTATTCTGTCTCATTATTCATTCATCAGTAATCTGATTACTATGTAAATTTTAAACAATTTAGAATAACCTGGTTTAACCAGATTCTGCAAAGTGAAGTCAAAGCTT